CAGGCGCGCGCTACCACGCCTGGCTCATTTTTGATTTATTGTAGAGACGAGGTCTTGCCAAGTTGCCCAGGCGGATCTCGAACCCGCGGGCTCAGGCAATCCACTCGCCTCAGCCTCCCAAAGTGCTGGGATTACAGGCTGCGTGCATGTATTTTGTTTACAATATTTCTGGAAAGAGGCCAGATGCAGTGGCTCACACCTGTAATCCCAGCACTCAGGGAGGCTGAGGCTTGAGCCCAGGAGTTTGACACCAGTCTGGGTAACGTCATGAGACCCCACCTCAATACTACCATCACCAAGTTTTATGAAGTCCTTACAGTTTGCTGTGGGTGTGAGCTGCAGAAGTGGGTGGCCAGCCCGCACCCAACACGCCCTCCTCTCTGGGGACAGCCTCCCTCTGCCCCAGGAGGAATTGCTTGTGCCCTGGGTGGCCTGTCAAGCTGGAGACAAAGTACTTTCCCACCTGGACACCCAGCCTGGCCCTCCGGGGTGCCTCTGCCTCCCTGGGGAATGGGCTGGCATGAAGCAGGCCTTGGCCTTGACCTGCTCATGCGGGTAGGCGTTTGGGCTCTGACCTTGGCCCAGGGCCTAATGTCACCCATCCACTGCCATTTGTCCTTTCTCCTGCAGTCCTTTTTTTTTTTTTGGTGACAGGGTCTCACTGTGTTACCTAGTACAGTAGCACGATCATAACTCACTGTGGCCTTGACCTCCTGGGCTCAGGCCGTCTTCTGCCTCGGCCTCCAGAGTAGTTGGGACTACAGGCATGAGCCACCGCACTCACCTAGTTTTTTTTGTTAGAGACAGGGTCTCACTACGTTGTCCAGGCTGGTCTCAAACTCCTGGGCTCAAGCGATCCTCCTGCCTCGGCCTCCCAAAGACAAAGTGCTGGGCTTACAGGGGTGAGCTGCCACACCCGGCCCATCTGCAGTCTTTCTCTTTGAGGCTGGCGGGGCACCTGTGTCCCCAGAGGTGCCTCACCCCAGGCTGGGCCCCAGCGCTTGTCGGGGGTCAGCAGCTGTTGTCTGCCAAGGCGAGGACCAGGCAGGGCCCAGCAGGTGTGGCCTCAGCAGACAGGTGAGGCCTTGATGCTGGCTAGCTGGTGCCAGGAGCCAGGGCTCCGGGCAGATGTGGGGATGGCCCTGATGCTTCTTGGGACATAAACACTGCGGGGCACACTGGCCCACCTGCCCTCCCATTTCACAATCAGGGGATCCTGGCAAGCTCGCAGGACGCAGAGCTGGCCATCCTGCCTGGGTGGTTGTCTGGCCGCAGTTACAGGAAGCAGGCTTTCGGCGAAATGGCTTCTGCCCACTGGGTGGTGCTTCAGAGCCTGTGGGCGCCAAGTGGGGCTGGGGTGGGGTGCAGAGTAGCATCCGAGAAACATTCCAGCCCTGCCCACCATTTCTCCGGGATGGGAAGGACCCATCTCCAGGTGGATGCTGGCCGCATGGAGCCCACCCAAGGCTGGTGCCCCCCTTCCCCCCAGTTCCGAGCCTTTGGAGCTAGGATCAGGCTGCTGCATACCAGCCTGGGAGAGAAAGAGTGAGACCTTGTCTCACGGCGGCTTAGCTCAAGTGCACAGCCCCTCTGTGCCTGTCAACAGCTCGGGAGAAACAACCTGGGGTACGTTGCTTACCGGGCCTGCGGTCCCTCCTTGTGGATGCTCTAAGTCAGGGGTCCCCAGCCCCCGGGCCACAGACCAGTACCACGGCCTGATAGGGCCGCACAGCAGGGGGTGAGTGGCGGGCGAGCGCGTGAAGCTTCAGCTGTGCTTACCACCGCTCCCCGTTGCTTGCATTACCGCCTGAGCTCAGCCTCCTGCCAGATCAGTGGTGGTGTCAGATTCTCATGGGAGCACGAACCCTGCTGTGGCTAGCACACGCGTGCAAGGGGTCTAGGTTGCGTGTCCGTGTGAGAATCGAGCGCTTGGTGACCTGAGGTGGAGCTGAGGTGGTGATGCTAGCGCTGGGGCCTGGCTGCAGATACCGACTGACATGAGCGGTGAGGTTTGATGGCACACTCCCACTCCCCATCCGTGGAAAAACTGTCTTCCGCAAAACCCGTCCCCCATGCCAAAAGGGTTGGGGGCCGCTGCTCTAAGTGGTAGCCCCGGGCCGAGCCAGGCCACTGGCGTCCAGCCCACATGCTTGGCTCCTGCCGGAACTGCTGTTTGCTCTCCAGGAGGCCTCCTGTGAGGACACAGCCTGGCCCAAGCGTGGACGGCGGGTGCTGACACGCACCAGGTGCCGGGGGCTAGGTGCTCCATCAGCTCTCCCCATTTCATTGTCGAGAGCGCACTGGGTCAGCCCCAAAGATGTCCCCGTCCTAAGACTGGGTATTAGGTTTCACGGCCAGGGGATTAAAGATGCTGATGGAATGAAGGTGGCTAATCAGCCGACCTTGAGATGGGAGATTAGCTTGGATTATCTGGGTGGCCCAGTGTAATCTCAGGGTCCTTGTAGGTGAAAAGGGGAGACAGGAAGGCCAGGGTCGGAGTGATGCTGGGTGCTGCTGGCTTTGAGGCGGAGGAAGGGGCTGAGAGCCTGGGCACGGATGTGTCCTCTGAAAGCTGGAGAAGGCAAAGAAGGAGGTTCTTTCCTAGCGCTTCTGGGAGGAACACAGCCTGCCGACACCGTGACTGTAGCCCAGGGAGACTCGTTTTGGACTTCTGACCTCCAGAACTGAAAGATGATAAATTTGTGTTGTTTTAAGCTCCCAAGTTTGTGGTCATTTGTTAAAGCAGCCACAGGACATGAACATGAGCCCCGGGACTTCTATTATGATGTCCCTTTTAAAGATGGTGACACTGAGGTCAGAGAGCAGGTAATTTGCTCAAGGCAGAGTTAGTGACAGGGGACAGTTTTAAATAGAGTTAGGCTCACTCTGGCGCCCTTACTGTGAAGTTGATCACATTTCCCTTTTCACCTTGGCCATTAGGAAGCTTAGCTCCATACTTATGCCCGCTTCCTTGTCCTTGGTGCCTCTCTCATCTCTTTTAGCTTTTTGCTGCTTGCGATGTTGAATACACCTTATGAATCTTCCCTCAAATGCAACCTGGAGCAGGTTCTGGACAGCCTGAGAGGTGGCCAACTTCTCTTCCCCTTTGTGTTCTGGCCTTTCTAGGAGGGGGAGGACAAGATCTTCTTGATTAATAAGCTCCACTCTGTCTACGAGAGGAAGGAGAGGAAAGAGAAGGCAAGGAGCAGGTGAGGGGCCGTGGAGGGGTCCCAACCAGGGCCACTCTGAGTGGGGAGGGGAGTCACTGGGACTGCACTGTATGAAGCTGCTGATACTCCACCACTTTTGACCTATAAAAGTGGCCATTTCATGAGGCTCGACCTCTGCTCGGGTGTGTGAGGCGAGTCCCTGTGGTTTCTCCACCCTGGCCTCTCATTCGTTCTAGGGTCCTCTTTAGCCCGTGAGGGCTGTCTCCTGAGAAAGGCTGTTGGGCGTGTGCTCTGTCCCTCGCTGGGCCCCAGCCACATGGAGGTCCAGCTCGGCCCAGCTAGGTTGCAAGGATGTTGCCATCTGCTGGGCCCCTCACTGATGTCCCTTTCTGGCAGGGCTGGCGGAACCGAGGAGGCTGCGACACCCCCTGCCCTGCTCACAGAGGGACGGGATGCCCGGTGGGACGGCAACGGGCCTCGCAGGCTCACCCTGCAACCGGAGTTGCTGGCCTGAGGCCACGAGGGTCCCTCTTGGTGACCTTGCTGGGGCACCAGTTGGAGAAAAGACTCTATCTCTCCTTTTAAAAGCAGCAGCTGGGCCGAGGCTGGAACCAGAAGGGTTGGCAAGTGGGGCTGGGCACCCCCAGTGGACCCCACCCTGCCAGGGACTCTATTTATTCAGATTAAATGGGTTTTGCAAAATGGGCTTGTCCCTTGACTGTGCTTGTGACCTGGGCCTGCCCAGGTGTGTGCAGGGGCTGCTGGGGCACCATGCCCACAGCCTGCCGCTCACTGTCCCGAGGCCACCCTCCAGGCTCAGTCCAGGTCGTGGGACCCACGGCTGGAGTGGGGCACCCTCTGCTGGCCGAGCCCCACATGGCAGGGGCTGGACCACACCACAGCTTGAGCTACTTCCTTGAGGGGCCTGAGCCTGTGCCAGGGAGAGCGGGCTGGCTGACGTGGGCTAGCCAGGCACGCGCCAGAGTGATGCACATGGCTGGTGCTTTAGTGGCTATTGGGGCGGGGGGGCACCCTTAGGGAGGGTTTCAGAGTTGAGAATGAGCTGTGGGCAAAGCACCACCGAGGCAGAGGGCAGCGGGTGCCCAGGTTCCAAGGGTACAGGGCTTGGTGGTGCAGTGTCAGGCCCTGGCTTCTGGCTGGGGGTGCTGGGGGTGACCTTGGGCCCGAGTAGGCTGCGTTTGAGGAGCCCGTGGGCTGCTGTAAGCCCAAGGCTGTGGGGAATGGGCACTCTGCAAGAGCTGGGCTCGGGACTGAGGAAACGGCCCCGGGGAGGATAACAGGGTCAGGGTGGTGACAGGCCCGACATCTGTCATGCTAGAATGCAACCCAAAAAAGAGTCAGCGCCAGAGAGGAGCTGCCTGTGGCAAAAGTGCTCTGAGCTGGACTGCATCCCATGGCAGTGCTCCTGTGCTCTGCTGACATGGCCCTGTCTGTGGGTGTGCTGCAGGCCATCAAGGCCAGACAGGTCAGATTTCCTGGACTCGTGGCCCACCTGAGTCAGATGGTGCTCAGGGACCTCTGCGCGTAGCTAGCATGGATCCTGTGTGGCTGTGTCTCTGGGCATGAGCGCTGCTGGGCCACACTGGGTAGGCAGTACAGAACGTACACAACTGGCTGGGTCTCCGGGCCAGTCAGACGTGTCCTGTAAACCATGGCAGCCCCTGGTGAGGGAGGGACAGAGTCTGCCACTGCCAGTAGGACTCTGCATTCTTGTCAGCTGTGGCTTGTTGAGCTCGTCACCAACTTCACCACAACCCTGTGGAGTAGGACCAAGCTACTCAGGAACATGCTAGGAAGTGTTGGTAGAATTACCATGTGCCGTCTGTCCTTTGTGTTACCTGGGCTGGGCTGTGGCACCCGGTGATCTAATCAAACACAAACCTAAGTGTTCCTGTGAAGGTGTGTCAATGTAGTTAACATCTATAGTCAATTTTAAGGAGATTATCCTTGATGATGTGGATGGGCCTCATCCAGTCAACTGAAGGCTTTTTTTGAGACAGGGTCTTGCCTTGTCACCAAGGCTGGAGTGCAGTGGTGTGATCCTGGCCACTGCAGCCGTGACCTCTTGGGCTCAAGTGATCCTCCTGTCTCAGCCTCCTGAGTAGCTGGGACTACAGGTATGCACCACCACGCCTGGCCTGTCTCCAGCTTGCTGGCACCGCGGTCTTCAGACCTGCCAGCTCCACCATGGGCTGAGCTAGTCCTCGTTCCGTGTCCCTGTCTCTTACTGGTTGCTTTTCTGATTCACCACGTGGCCTTAAGATGCTCCAGCTAGGGTGCGGAGCTTCTTCCATGACAGCCTGTGTGGTGCTGAGGGCTGGGGGTTGTGTGGGACTAGACTAGACCCTTGCTCACTGGGTGCCCTTGGACATGTTCTGTGATCTCTCCCAGCAAATGACACAGTTCCCTGTAAGTGCTCAGCACCATGCCTGGCACACATTTGAGGCTTTGCTTAAAAAGCAACAAAAAATGGCTAGCTCTAATCACCCCAGGAGACCAACTGAAGACTTGCAAATTGCAAGCTGCCATTAGAGTGGATAGGAGGTTGTCTGTGGCATTTAGGTTTGAACAACAAGTCTCCTTTATGCCCTGTGTCTCGACTTTGGCTGCACAGCGGAACCCACTGGGGAGGTTTTGGTGTTGGGTATGTGCTTGCAGTCCCAGCTATTTGGAGGGCTGAAGCCAGAGGATCACTTGAGCCCAGAAGTTCAAATCCAGCCTAGGCAATGCTGCAAGACTCCATCTACAAACAAACAAACAAAATAATCCCTGGGTTACCCCATGGATTCTGACTGAACTGGTTTGGATGTGACTGATTTTAAACATCTCCAGGTAATCTGAATACATGCAAAAGTTGAGAACCCCTGCTCTGGGCCACATCTAGTACTGGATCACCACAAACACACTCACTCAAGCCTGAGGCACTCGGGGTGTTTGGAAATGCGCTTCTGGTTTTCAAGCTGACTTGGGGATTCAGGGGTATCAGCAGTATCTCAGCAAGGGGTATCAGCAGTAACTCTGCTGAGAAACGCTGAGGTGCAGAGCTAGCGAGCTGACTGTGTTCCATCCTGCTCCTGTGCAGGCTTCCTTGGTCTGCTGGAAGGTACTATTCCTGCAGGGAACATTCCTGAAATGCCCCGACGTCTCCATTTCCCTCTCTGGGCAGAGCATGCGCTCAGCTCCTCCGTGGTGATATCATGACTGTGGTGGCTCCTCCCAGGTTCCAGCAACCTTCTTGGTACACTGTGCTGCTGCCCACCTGATCCCCGCTTTCTGCATTCACTGTTCCTCCATGGGGTGGCCACAACAGTTAAAATAAGGGCAACTCTGAATGGTTGTCTTCTGGCTTCCAAACAGCAGGCCTCCTGTTCACCCACGACACTGGGACCCCCCCCCCACTCCAGGCCCATAAGGCCTTCCCACTGGGCTTTCACGCTGTGGGGGGGGCGGGGTGTGTGTCCCCAGATGCCTGCTGAGTTTCCCAGTCTGTCAAAATCCAATCCAGCCTCAGAGGCCCGAGGCAAATGCTATCTCCTCCGTGAAGCCTACCACATCCTTTGGACATCCTAAGGCTTTGGCCTTGTTCTCCCAAGGCACAAGCGTGGGTATGGTTTGCTCCCCTATATTAACTCTGGACACAGGCAAAAAGTAAATGCTGAGGGTCTGGCATGCAGAGCTGAGTTACTGATGTGAGATGTTCATACTCATTTAGAATGTCAAATGCACTTTTTTTTTTTTTTGAGTTGGGCTCTTGCTCTGTTGCCCAGGCTGGAGTGCAGTAGTGTGATCATGGATCACTGCAGCCTTGAACTCCTGGCTTAAGTGATCTTCCCACTTCAACCTCCTGAGTAGCTGGGATTCCAGGAACACACACCATCATATCTGATTTCTTAAACTTTTTTTATAGAGATGTTTCACTGTGTTGTCCAGGCTGGTCTTGAACTCCTGGGTTTGAGCAGTTCTCAAGTGCATTTTGACTGTCTCATTTCCAAGCTTCATTCTTCCTAGTCTTTTCTTCTCCTGATTAGGACCCATTCCGTGCTTTCCTTCTTACTTTCCAAAGGAGGTCAGAGCCAGCAGCTCCCTACAGGACAGCGGATCCATCTTTGACCTTGCCCAAGGTCATGGGACACTAAAAGACACCCTGTGAGTACTCGAGTGAAGGGTAACATGGGCACCCAGTTCATCTTCAAGAGCCCATCTACGAAACCGGAGAGCCAGAAGTGCAGACACTCAACACACTGAAGGTGATGGCCAGTGTTCCAGGGATGAACCCATGTGCTGTGGTAACTGCCACCTGAAACTCGGCAGTAAAAGGGTGCTGCTTCATTTAGCAACAGAAATTCCCCTTTGCATGTACAAAGTGTTCTGTGAAAGTCAGCCAAGGCTATTTAACCAAAATGAATGAACAAAATGTCTAGACATACCGAAGACCTTCGTTGCTCTCTCCTCTGAATGTTTCTGATGCCCAAACTGGGTCCTAGGTGGCAGCGAGCAGTAGTCCTCTGCTTGGGACTCTATGCAGATTCCGGCCATGTCCTGTTGCTATTCTGGCAACCGCGGTTATCGAATGAACAGACTCAGATGGGCCCAGGCGGTGACAGTGTGAAAGTTCTGCTGTGCCTCCCAACGACTATAAACAAGGTCCAAATATTAACAGCAAAACCACAAAGGATAAAATGAAGTCAAACAACTGAAATTCCGAGTTTAACTAATTGTACATATAAACATATAAACTCTGAGGCTATCACAAAAAAGAGACAGGGAATACATCAAAAAGAGACAGGGAATACTTTTTACCAGTTTTGCTATACAGTAAAAATCGATAATTTCTCTTTGAAAAATGAAAAACACATTGATTTGAACAGCCAAGAAAAAAATTGCAATTTATTAAGATTCAACAAAGCGTTGTACTTTTGAAAGCAACTTTCGGTGCATGTTCTTCAACAATCACATTCTATGAGGAAAAACATTAAGAGCCACAAACTTGTTTTTTAATCTCAGAGTTACAGACATATTAAATCCAAAATAAAAGGTCAAAAAAAATGCAAACAAACCCAACAAAACCCCAAAACAAACAGATTCTTTACGTCCATCCCCATTGTACAACATCAGGAGTGTTTCTACAACTCAATGCTAGATGGCGGCATGGGAAGCCATCTGTCTCAGGTGCACACACGCACATGCACACAAGTATATTTGACATACATATGCAGGTATATATATACATCAAATATATCAAGTGCATGTAATGGCAATGAGATGCAATCACTCTGAGGAAGGTTTGTTTAGCTAAATACACTACTCAACTTGAGAAAAAAAGTCTTGAACCCAGTTTGTGCATAGTTCATGATCCTCTATAAAACCAGCTTTTGTTGATCTGCAATCCTGCAGGACTTTCTTTTCTTTTTTTTTTCTTTTTTGTTTTGATAAAACCATTAAAAAGCTAATTAAAAAAAATGTAATGCACAAGTTTCCTGATCAAGCAGGCAGGGAGCACAATGTTCATATATTTTTTTAAAACATACTTGAGGGTATGTTATTCCATTGTCTTTCTTCCTTGCAAAACAATCAAAACATTGATCATTTTTAAAACATAAAGCAATTTTTAATATATAAAGCACTCTTCAAACATCTATTTCTTTTGAGTCCATTATTTGGTAAATATGTAAC